CCCCCCCCCCCCCCCAGTTGGCCACTGTCAGCATCTCCACCATCAGTCTGCTTAGCTGTTGAATCCTGAATTTACGACCTTGCTCTTTTTTAAAGTATTTATGTTGTTCTTTGATTGTTTGTAGGGATTGAAAATTAAGGCACTTAAAGGTTTATGTGACAATTGTTTATATGTGAGAGAAGGAAAAGTTCCTCAAACACTAAAGTGGCAGCAGGAAAGACGAAATTGCCTTTCATTCGGCTAATTTATTATTTCAACTTCAAGTTCTTTTCTTTGTGTTTTCTTTGAACTTAGAGCTCTTTCTGTTCCATCCATTTCCCTGTTCCTAACTCCTAGGTTGCTGATTTACTTTATTATAGTCCTTTGATAATGTGCACAGGTATCTTTCTAACCGTGTAGGCTAGATTATATAAAGTGCAGAGCAGAGGTCTAGTTTTTAATAATAATAATAGCCACTTTTTTTTCCCTAATTTCCATTCAGGCTGCAGTGCTGAATAAAATTTAAGATCCCCAAAGGACGACTCAATTTTATATCACAAAGAATTTATATTGAATTTATTAAGAGTAAACCTTTACCGTAAACTTTAGGTCTTATCTCTAAAGACCCTGCTGTCATAACTATTTGTAAAAAAAAAAATTTCTGAGTATGGATATTTGTGAAAAATTAAGGTAGGAATAGTTTGCAAGTGATATAAGTGTTTTGGTAAAAATCTCTGTTCTATCTGTAAAGTAAACAGAGAAAACAGTAACCTTGTCTCCCTTACAAAATGAAATAGAGTTTGTAAAAGCACAGATTTGTCCAAGGTGTATTATTGCAGCTTTGGTACACTGAATGAAAATCTGTTTTGCCTCAGGATAGCACTTCCAGTCATTATCATCTGTGAACTCCTTAGCGTGGAACAGTTCAACACATGCTTATTGAGTCTAGGTTTTAAAATACATATCACAAAAAGTGTGTGTGTGTATATATATACACACACACATATGTGACCTGTCTCACAGTAGTGAGGGAGGGGGGAAGTTGTATTTTAATAGGCGGAAAATAATATCAACAGACAATGTTGTGAACTTCACTTTAATAGACATTTTACTCAAAATACTTGTTACTGACTCCACCCAGAAAACCTTTGTGTAAAAACTGTTTAAAATAATGAGCTGAAGTTTTGTGTCTGAGAATAACGATAAAACAACTGTTGCAGACCAGTCGTATTGGAAAAGATCATTTGGCTGAAACACAGGCGGCAGCAGGCTGTGCTCGCACGAGGGAGGTTGGTTGCTGCCTTTGCACTGCTACTAGTTCTGCTCTGTTAGTGGTAGGACAGTTCTGTTGTCACTTAGTTTAGATTTTTACTTCTCTCCCATCCCTGGTTTTTATCATTCTGTATTTTACTTGTAAAATGAGCTTGTTCTAAAATCTCCCTATGACCTAGCTGATTGATAATTTTTACTTCTGAAATGTGATTCTTAGGTATTTCTCTGAGGTTAGTGTTCTGTTGTTTCTCCTCTTGCTGTGTTTTTTGGTACCTGTCTGCTGGTGTGTACCCTTCTCTTCATGTGATAATCCATAATTTCTTCCGTATGACTTCCCAACGCACCTTTGTGGGAAATAATTATACATGTTACAAAAACTTAGCTTGATGCTTTGAAGCCTGCCTTTATTTTTGTGTTTGTAGTTGACATTTTTTTCCCCTAAGCTTCTTTGCTTGCTCTTTGGTAGTGATCTGCAGGTGGAATTAATGCTGCTAGTCTTGAGTGTCAATCATGCTTTTCTGAAATTAACTAAAATAGCATGGAGTGCACAGTTGTAGCCAAACTAGGTTGAAAACAGTTTTAAAATTTGAAGCAGTTATACAAGTGAGGTGAAGAATAATAACTTTGAATGTTAGTGAAGCAATTTGGGTTGCTTCAAAAAAGAACCAACAAACAAAGCAGTAGTCACAGCATTTGAACACTGTAGAACAAGACCTCCAAGAAGTCTGCACTGTTTACTTAGCTATCCCGATCTCGAGTTGTTCACAAAACTAACCCAAATTATGTATTTTGAACTGTAGCCTTCAGCGGGATACATCTGTAAGCTGTGTTTTTCAAGGTGTGCGTTCATCTATGTTGTTCATGGGGCGTATAATCAGTTTTGTGGCCCTTTGGTCACTCACTGCTGATGAGTCCGAAGAGTTTCCCCATCTTAGCTGCAGCCTCCCCTTTCAGGAGATGTTTGTCATTGCAAGAACATGTCTCCCCAAGAAATCAGCTGTTTTTTAAAGAGCACAAGGTAAGGCTGTGGGTACTTGGTTAAAGGTCAACATATGTGTCTTGGTTCAGATTGGGACTATATGTTGGAAATTCCTTTCTTGACTCTCTCCACTTGTTTTGCTTTTATGCGTTGTGCTGTTGCCTGTGAATATACTTACTTAGGTTTGAGTGAAATGAAGCAGAAAGGCATGCTGCAGCTGTTCGTGGGCTTTCAGCCAGGTAAGACCTAGTTTGGAGCAATTCCCCCCCAAATACTTCTAATATGGACTTCAGGTTCTCAGCATCAGGTGAATGCTCTGCGAAGGCACTTGTAGTAAGATCTGGTATCTGCATATGCAGGTGCAGCTGCAGTGGAATTACCACAAATGGGCTGATCTAATGCCTGTCAAAGCACTGCAGGTTTTCTATGCAATAGGCATCGTTGCACGTAAAATTATTTCCCTTAAGGTGTTGATTTCTCCATGTATTTGGTGACTTTTACTCTCTGTTTAAATTTTCCTCCTATCTTGCTCTAAATTGTTTATGCATCAGGTGAGTTGCTGAAATGTGTGAGTGAGGAGGTCTTTCATAAAGCATCTGTTCTGTTTAATGTGTTCAAGTGGCTTTAAAGGTTGTTAAAAGATACACTAGTTACAGAATCAACTGCCTGTGGTTCCTTTACATCCATTTGAAAAGCCTTAAACTCAAGTGTTGTTTCTCACTTCTTTTCTCCCTTGAGCTACTGGGACTTGCATTTGGTAATTAGTTGGTGGATGTTAAAACCACAGGAGATATGTGTTGTTTTTCAAAGCAGCTGTAACATTCTACTGCTCACTCCCTCTACCTGTTGGCTCTGTCATTTAAAGGACTGTGGTGGGAAGAAGGCAGAGTGCTAGACCTTGGAGTTTTTATTAGCGTTGCTGTGAATGAGAAATAGGCATGTTTCTTTCTTACTCCCACCCAAAAGGAACTGGCTTTTGTGCGAAATGCAGTGGGAAAAGAGTAGTTTGCTAAAATTGAAGATGTAAGTAAGTTGAATAGTGTATTAGTGTTTTTTTCCCCTCCTTTTCTGGTCCTTACAAAGCAGCGAGTATGTTGACCGGTAATCATTTGTGTTAGCTTTAAATTGTACAGGTAGCGTGTATGTTGTCGGGATGTGAAGGAGCGGTGAGTGAGCTGGGCTGGTGTTAGTCCTCTCCGGAAAGGGAGGGCAACAAAGCCAAATCAACACCGCAGCTACTTTTGACAAATAGGCAATAGGCATTTTGCCTGGTTTAGCTTTATGGCACGTGGTGTATTGCTCTCGAGGGGAATGGGCTTTGTTTTGGGAAGACTATTGGTAACCCCCTTTGGGTCTGCTGGAAGCAAAGATGAGGTGTAGCAGGGGAACAGTTCTGATCCGAAGACCCTTTGGCAAGAGTTTCAAGTAACTCTTACAAGACTCAAAACCAAGTTGTAGACATTAGCTGTCTCTTTTATTCTTCGGGCAGCTAGTGAGTTTCAAGTGAGCAGTCGCTGCAGGATCCTCGGGAAGGCTGGCAGAGGGGTGCCAACATGGAGAAAGTTTCCTGGGCGAGGGCCAACTTGACAAATGCACCCGGGCAAGCTTTGTGTCCAGACTTGTGTTTCAGCTTACGCCGATGGATTTAATGTCCTTAGGGCTCCGGCTCCGAGGCGTACACTGCAGCAGAAATACCACTGCACGGCATGCTCGGTTTCATTCGCTGCCGTGTTTGATGTTGGAGGATTAAGGGGAGGGGAGGGGATCAACTACCCAGGATGCTCTGTTAGGAGGAGTAAGTGAATTTGATTGTCGTCAGAACTAGATTGCCATATGAGTTCTGAAAAGCGCTTGGCTCCTGAGGATAACTGCTCTAAAAATAGATGTGGAGGAGAGGTTTCTCTTGGGTCCAGTTTCGGGTTCCAGCTGAGCTGGCTTTAGGAAATTTGTTTGCTCCTGTTGCAAGACTACAGTGAGGATAAATCCGTCTCTTACTCTGCCTTCAGCATTGATTTTTGGAGATACTGACCCACTTGCTCTGTCTGCGGAAATCCAGCACTAATGTTATGGCTGACGACACAGGTATAATCCTAACCTTCTTGTGAACAAATGGGAAATGCATAGTCGCCAATGCCGGCATGTCTGGTTTTGTAATCAGCAAAATAGCTGGCTTACTGTGGTATGTTGGTGTTTTCTAGCCAGCTTGCTGTTCTGGTCTGCGATACAGGCAGCCTCTGTCCTCTTTGACTAAATGTTCTCTGGAGTTGGGGTATTTCATGAGTATTTGGCAGGTGGTTGATCGTAACAATTTTTGCTTGAGTAGAGCACATAAAAGACATTGTTTTGTCTTCAGATACCTGACTTAAAAGTTATTTTTGGAGTATGCAAAATTACTGGGTGTCTTTAATGCAAGCTAAAGTAAAAGGAAAAAAGGTTTTAGTACGTTTTTATCTAGGCGTGACTTAGTGCAGGGTGGGTGAGGTGGAGGATTTTTATAGATTTGCCGTTGAGGAATAGAGCACAATTTAAGACTTTCTGATGTCCGCATAAAGACATCTGGTGGTGTAAGCACAGGCTTACCAGATATGGCAAGTGACCTACTTCTGGCGTGGCTGGCAGTGTATGCAGGGAAAGGGCTTGAATTGAGAATTCACGGGAACGAGCTCCGAGCCAGCGCTGGTCCTTGCAGTGTTTTGTTCTGGCCCCATGTGTAGGGTTATCTGTGCAGACCACAGGTAACACAGGTCGTGTTCCGTGACTTCCATTTATGGTCAAGGGGTGCCTGATCAAGCTGCCATGGTTGAATTCTTAGCAGAATTTTTCAAGAGTTTTGAAAATAATTTTCCTATAAGATAGGAAGCCACAGCATAAAAATGACTCTTTCTAACTGTTGTGAGTGATGTTTTTATAGCAGAATCTGTTTTTGAGGGATTTGCATGAAACGGTCTTTTCGACTGGAAAAAATATGAACAGCTGTGCTTGATTACGTAAATGAGTGGTCTTTTCTGCCTTTCTCCTGTTCGTTTCTTCTCATAAGTAAAGCCTCTTTCTTCAGAGGCAACTAGCAGTAACCAGTAGAAAACAGTAAGGTAGATGCGTAAGTGTGAAGTACAGTAAGGGTCTCTTTCCTCTTTGCCTCTTCTAATACCTAGTTTGCTCTAGAACAAAGTTGTAACCTGGAATCATTGAAAATGTTTTTAGCCTTAAGGTTTTATTTTAAATATGTACAAAGCTTCTGTTGCTTGCATTGGAACACAGGAGTAGTGAAGTTCTGCTGTTATGTGGTATAATTCTTTTTTTCTGAATACTAGCATTTCCAGCTCAGGAGTACGTTAAATAATTTTCATATGCAGTTGGTCCTATTTCTGCATGTACTGGCACACGCTGCTTGAATTTGACGCTGTGTTCAAGCTACCAGTACATCTTTCCCACAAGAGAGATGTTATGATGAGTTGTTGATATGGACCTTGCACATACATAGTTAGGGTGCTGTGCAGGAGCAAGCGATACATGCCCGATGTGAGGCTGAGTTGGCTCGGTTTCTCTCCAGATACTGTCGGACAGCCTATACCAAGGCAACTTCATGTTTAATATATATGGAAAAGAAACCAAGTAGTTGGTGTTTGATCTTTGTATGGAGTAGTCTTAATAAAAGAATTTTTTTTTTTTTTTTCCAGTGAGATGCTGGCTGAGTAAAAGCTGACGTGAGTCAGGGTTTGGTTTTTTTATTTATTTAGTTTTATTGGTCTGAATTCGATATATAGCACAATGAATGTAATAAAAGGTGAGTTTATTACAGCTGTGAACTGCTGGCAAGCAGGGTCTGAAAGTACTTCCGTATAATATCTATTACAGAAATAAGTCAGTCAGTCACCAGTCTCTCATTACTCATCTTTCAGAGCTACTCCATTTTATTCTTAACAACAACCGGGTTGGTATTTAGCTGTTGAGGGTATTTTTTCTCTTTTTCTATAATCAGTGTTGAGAAATACATCAAACATTACTTGCAATTAGTGTGATAAAGTTAACTCCCTACCTTATTATATTATCAAAATATTTGTGACAAAGTTCCTTGAGTATTTTGAAATATGTAAGAAATAGTTCTGCTTCAGTAGTTAGGACTAACCGGGGCTGAGTGGGCAAAGGCTGGTGTTTAGAAGGGCTCGAGGTGGAACAGGCTGGGTGACATGAAGCAGCAGCCAAGTGCCAGCCTTGCAGTGGCAGCGTTGGGAGGCAGAAGAGCTGACCTTGAGCTTTGGAAGAAAGGCCATGGGCAGCTTTTTGGATGTGTGTTTATTTACTACGTGTCCCCCTTTCCCTAAAGTGATCCTAAAGCAATGAACCAAGCAATTTATGCCTTCTCTAGTGGTGATGCCCATTTGAAACCCCCGACCCATATGCTAGGTTGAGATCTTTCTCTTCCCACGGATTTGTTTATAACTCCTGTATTTTTTACATTCACTTAACTTTCCGTATGCGCGGTTATAAATGAAGCTGTGATTTGCCTTAAGTCTCTGTGTCATCCTTTCCTGCATGTTCCATGGGACTGGAGGTCTGAAGGTACTCAGCATGTAGTGAATCTCTGCTTGATTTGAAGCAACAGGAGAGATATTTTTAGTTGGTAGTGTCTGAACTTGGAGTCTTGCCCTTAACACGGTTTAGAATTTAGAGCCTTCTTAAACTATTTGAATTTTCATGTTGGTTCTGTGAGCTAATGCAACCAGCTTTGAAACTTGCTTCAGAAGAAAGGCTCTACTTCCCAGCCGTTGTGCTGGTGGCATTGCCCTCTGGTGGCACAAAGCAAAGCATCGCCGACATGTTAAGCTCGTATATATAAACATACACCAAAGGGGCGGCAGAGGGGATTTCCAACTAAGTTAAGACAAACTGCATGTGGGGTTTTGGTGTTCAGTTGGTTATAGCACTTTACTTACATAATCATCGAGCTCTCCACCATAATTCTCAGTGATATGAAAAGCAAGTAACAGTGGTCAAGTTTTTGAAACAAAAGAAAACAAAACAAAAAACTCAACCAGAAAAGCGTTATTCGAATGTCTTGTGTTCTGCATAGCCTTAAGAAACAGAATTTATAATTGCATCCTCAATCATAATTTTCTAACTCTTATGCAAACCTGTGTTTCCTACTTGTTTGCCTTATTTTAACAGAGACTAAGCATGGAGGAAGCAAGAATGGAAAGAAAGAAGGACTCTCTGGAAGCTCATTTTTCACCTGGTTTATGGTAATTGCTTTGCTGGGAGTTTGGACGTCAGTAGCAGTTGTCTGGTTTGAACTTGTAGATTATGAAGAAGTTCTAGGTAAGAATTTTAAATCTTAAGACACTTCTAGTAATTATTGTGATATGTGTTAGCTGGAGGCCATTTTAAATATCTAGATAGCTGGTTTGACTACTGCAGTGTTTGCAAATGACCTGCATGATAAGAACAGGCAATGTAGTTCAAAAAGTATGGTTAATGCTGAACTCTATTATGATGTTAAAATGGGATTCTCATAAGACTGGGAATGGTTATTAACCTACTGCATTTATTAAAGAAGTGAAGCAAATGCGCAGGATGGATCTGGATCTGTTTGTAATGTATACTGTAGTTCATTTGAAATGTCAGCTAGATATGTGTTGTTTCCAGTTAAGCTCTCAGAAACTTGCAGCAGGGGTTGAAAGTGGGCGGTTGATGTTACCACTCCTCTGCCAGACTGTTGCCTCTAGTCAGGACTACTGGTCAGTCATTCTCTCATGAATGGGCTGTTGAATGGCCTCAGTTTAAGCTTATAACGGTGATGATTGTATCTCAATATGACAATGTTAAGATAGTATTGTTAATGTGAAAGGATGAAAATGAATGTCTCCGATTTCAAGATGTATGTCCATAGGTAGAGCTATTGTCCCTGATGTTGTAGGACTCAACGTGCGCTTTTGCAACTGCTCGTTTTACAAACTTTACAGCTTTACAAATCAGTTGGTACGTGCTTTTTTGATCTGGACTGACTTTAAGAGAAGCTTCTGGTTTGAAACTTAATTGGGTCTAGTGATGTAAATAATGGTTTCTATATTTTTGCCATGCATGCAGCCAAAGCAAAGGATTTCCGTTATAACTTGTCAGAGGTCCTACAAGGTAGGATATTGGACAAATAAGCTTGCTTTACAGTCCCTTGGCTCAAAATTTTGGTTTACTTTTTTATGTTTTTAATTTTTTTTTAGAGAATTACTATTCTACAATGATGTGAAACTCAGTCATTTCTCATCTGTCTCATTCTTCATGGTTTTGAAGATGGTACAATTCCTCTTATTTCTAGAGAATTACATTTATTCCACCAGTCTGCTGTGTTTAACCATGAACCGATAAAGATCCTTTCTATTTGATTGCTTCTGTACAGTGGTGATGGCCTTATTTTTGTCTGTTCTAGACCCAAGTCTGAACTTTTTCTTCTGCAAAACTTTCCTAATTTTCTAAGTACCATATTAAGAACTATATTTCATTTATTTTAATGGCAATCAAGTTCTGCCTCGATTTAAAGAATGAAGTGTAATAATAAACGGGCAAATTATAAGGACTTAGAATTCTTCTGCAGTGTACAGAGTTTCAATCCTATTAAAAGTTATGTGTGAATTTTATCAAAGCTAATTAGATATCTCTACTCACTTGGTGATCCCAGGACACTTCTAATCCTGGATACCACGATTCTGTGCTAAAAATTCTCTTTGAATAGAAACTGGGTTCTCCTTTTGCATGTACTTAGGGCTGGTAGAGCTGCAATGTCAAAAATAAAAGTGACAAGTCTGATGTATTAGTCACCTGGAAGGATGGACAACTTTTTTGTCTGCAGTGGATGCTATACAGTTCTTGATAAAAATTATGAATGTGTCATGGTTTAGGCCCACACAGCTGGCAACTGAACACCACGAGCCACTCGCCCGCTCCTACCCCCACCCCAGCGGGATGGGGAGGAGAAAATATCCCAAAAGGCTCGAGGGTCGAGACAAGGACAGGGAGGGCTCAGTCAGCAGTTATGGTCGTGGGTAAAAACCAGACTCAACTTGGGGAAACATCAATTTGATTTAAACACCGCCACCAATTTACCAATCAAATCGGAGCAGGATAATAAGAAATACAACCAGATCTTAAAAACCCCTTCCCCCCACCCCTCCCTTCTTCCCGGGCTCAGCTCTGCTCACGATTTCTCCACCTCCTCCCCCAAAGCAGTGAAGGGGGACGGAATGGTGGCTGTGGTCTCTGCCGCTCCTTCCTCCTCGCGCTCTTCCCCTGCCCCAGCGTGGGGTCCCTCCCAGGGGAGACAGTCCTCCGCCAACTGCTCCAACGTGAGCCCTTCCCACAGGCTGCAGCTCCTCACGAACAACTCCAGTGTGGGTCCCTTCTACAGGCTGCATCGCTTAATCTCTTTTAAATCTTTGAGCAACAAAATAAATGTGTGGAAAAAAGACTTGTGTTCAGTCTAAAGTCTATGAAATGCAGAAAGGAACTTAAAATATTTGTAATGTTTTCCAGGAAATTTAAAATATGGTTCAGAAAAGTACGGCTAAACCATAAAAAAAAATTATGGTAACAACCTAGCATTGGCAGTCAGCCGTTGCACACTGAAAACACTGTGCTGGAAACAAACTGCTGAATCCTCTCTTCTTCCTCTCTTTGGATTTCTAGGCAAGCTTGGAATATATGATGCTGATGGAGATGGAGATTTTGATGTGGAAGATGCTAAAGTATTGCTAGGCAAGTACAAACCCGAGTGGAATAATGTATATAATTCAGTTGTCATATTCACGTTTGGTTTTTGTTTGATGTCAAAACAATATTTCTGTTTTTTCCTAATTGGAGAGCTTAAATTGATTTAATTGTGGTGGGGTTTTTTCTTAATGCAAGTTGTAGGATTGTGTGTGGAACTTGTAGCAAGTTGTGTTCTTTTTCTCTTAATACCCCAACACCAGTGGAAAGCATTTGGTTCCTTGCAGGACAATTTTGAAGTTGGGTGGTTGATCATGCTGTATCGATTGTTGAAAGATGGTTGTGATTATTGATAAATTTATCAGGTGCAGGGCTTAGTATGCTTCAAGGGTTAAAACATTGTTTCTGTTGACATGTTAAGCCAGGTTCATTTAACATGACTTCCAGCAGGCCTTTGTACTTCTTAGATGACTCTGTTCGGCTTGTTTTGTACTGTCTTTCTTCTATTCTGAGTTCTCCACAAGTCTGTTTGTTTTCTTTGCCCTTCAGAAATCCTACATGACGTGGATTTTTCTCCTTTGATGTTGAAACACTGGTTTTAGGCTTCTGTTCCTTGTAGTTTGGGAGAATGTCTTTCTGCTCACTCTGTATCTTCAAAGAGAAATGTCAGTCGCTAGACGTGCTTCGTGATATTGCCCTTCTACCTACATCTCCTGGCAGCTGGGGCGCTGCTGTCTGCAGCCTCACAATCACGCATTGCAGAGACACTTCTCACATACCTGATGTCAGAAAGTTTACTTTGCTTTGATTTGTTCAAATGTAAACCTATCCTGAGTGCACAAACCTAGCGAGTTAAATGCACGAAACAGCAAAAAAACCCCAACGTAGTAAATAATACCTTGAGCAAAGGGCAAAGCAGACTGCCGCAAACTAGTCGAAGTTATCCGTGGTACATTAGGGTGTTACGGCTTGCTGTTTGAAACACCTGCTCCATAAAAAAATCAGCTTATTGTCAGGTTATTTTCTCCACTTACCTTTGCAGAAATAAGCAAGTCTTTTTGGGGGGTTCATTTGCTTAATCCCTCGATGGTTAAAGAAAACCCATGCCATTGAAAGTACCGCACCAGTTTGCGGTGGTGTGAACGGGAGAGGCGCTCCAGAGAATCTCCAGCTCCAAATGGGGCATTAATTGTAAATGGTGCGTGAGAGAACACTCTGTGTAGCTGTAATCTTTCTCTGTTATGTGGTGTAGAGAAAGTGGGAGTCAGTCTCTCATAAGCCATGTTTGAGGGATTCAGGTTGCCGAGGTGGTAGCCAGAAACATGCTGCTGCTTTGTTACATCTCTGTTTCACACAACTCGATACAGCTGGGAGTTCTGCCAGTGCATGACAGCGTTTCTATTATGAGCTTCTCTTATCACGCTTTTAAACCTTATGCTTCGAATGTGACATTAAAAGGTCACAGACCAAAAGTTGTTTTTATTATTTTGAATAGTTGCTTAGAAATATGATTTAATCTCATTTAAGACTATTTTCTGCGGTACAAAGGATATGGTGAATTTTGAAAAGTTACATGACGTTGGTAAAAATTATTAATATAATGAATGAATGTGAATATATTTTTTTATTATCTGAAGTTCCCAGTAAATTATTGTGCTTGTTTGATTTTACATTTAATATGAACTAAAAAATGAACACAGCTATGCAGACTAAAATTGTTTAATTGATGCAGAAACTGGAGGATGAGATTGCCTCTTGAGGAATTTGTCTTCCAGAATTAAGTCTTGGTAGGAAAGAAAACTCTACCAGGCCTGTAGTCAGCTGTGTGAGGATAACTTTCTAAATATTGAATGCAGAGCTCCTTCTATGTTTTGTTTGTGGGGATTTGTTAGTACATATGCTGTATGTGAAGACTTAATACTTTCTGGGGTTTTTCTCTGGGTCAGACTACCATAAGAGCAAGTGATTTCTTTCAGAGTTTCATGTTGCCTTAAAAAGAGATGCTCCTCTTGGATGATTAATGCTGGGGAGTCGTAGGCTGTTTTCTTTCCTGTTCTTTAGCTATTGCTATTCTATTGAGCCATCATACCTCATACATTCAAGAGATAAAGTAATAAATTTTAATTCCTCTATTTAGGTGTGCCCAAGTAGGACAGAAAATGACCGAGTAGCTGTTTTGAAACTACTGTAGCACCTTCAGATATTAAAGGCTGCGATATGCTCGTTCTGCTAAAAGAGCAGAAAGGCCTTGCCTAGTTAAAGGAATGTAGGCTAGCCCCCCGCCCCCAGCTTGGTTGTGGTGACACTGGTGAGCAGATACGGATTTGGACTCCCTCAAGCAGTGTTTGATTTCAGTTGTCACGGTCAGACTTCTCGGGAACTAAAGGAGCTCTTTCCTGCGAGTCACTGCTTTAGCGTGGGGCAGCTGCCTGCCTGGGCCCTTCCGTTCTGGGTCACCGTTTTCAGGCACTTCTTATCCTGCTTGTGGGTGCTCGTCACAAGCCTTGCTTCGAAAAGCAGAGCTTCTCGCTTGTGGCCATGAATGAAGACCAAAAAAATAATTTGAGCATTAATTAGTTCGTTGGGGGTTTTTTTTTGACTCTTAAGAGTGAAAAGAGAAATACATGAAACAACAGGTTACTTTCTGTAGCTCAGGCTGAAATGTCTTTTTTTTTTTTTTTTTTCCCCCTTAGATTCACAAGCCGTTGTAAAGAAAGGGTTGGGGGTTTTGTTGTTTGGTGGGTTTTGTGGTAAGGACGGTAAGACATATTCTTCCAGTTTCTATGGTTCCCTTTGGTGTCCGAATCTTTTCAAAGGAAATATGCTGCTGTACTCCATGTTATCTTTTATAAAGATAATTGCCCAAGAGTCTTATTCTTGACTTAGTGCAAGAACAGGGACATCTGTATGGTACTTCACATGCTTACAGAAGAGTCATCTAAAGCCTGCGGTCTTTTGTGAGTGTTTTTTTTGTTTTTAGTCCCAGGTTCTGACAGGATAGAGTGATATAAATAGTTGTAAATTGGTATTTATAACTTCAATTTTTTTTTTTTAATTTTTTTTAGATTCAGGTTTCCATTCTTGAGATTTAATTCTTCAGTAAATATACTTACTTTGGTTTATGTCTTTACGTCTTGCTTGGTCCAAATTTTGAAAAAAAATTAGAATGATGACTGACTACCATGCATAAAGTTAAGTCTATAAAATTTAATTTTTATAGAACTAAGCCATGGAAGAAGTTGGAGAGCGATATTTGTAATACCTTGATTGCCTCCTGGATTCAATCTGTCATTTTTAAACCTTTGGGCTATCCGGTGAAAAATTAAAGAGAATGGCTGGTCACTCAAGTAGAGAGGTTCCGGACATCCACGTACAAGGATGTGGAACATCATGGACTTGGAAGTTTCCTCAGAATTATCATTGATACTTTCACTATGTGCTGTAAGAAAAACATGTTGAAATGTGTTAAATGTCTCTGCCATGAACTCCTCTCTCTTGAATGTTTCATTAACCTGCACCTAATATTATAGTCTGCATGTGCCACATGTTCACTTAATTTTATGTCCTGACAATCTGTCTTCACCCTTAGCCCACTTTTTTGCTTCTCCTTCCAACACAAACGAAGGTTTGTTCTGATTAGAAGTGGGGGAAGTTTCTCCCTCTCCCACTTTAAAGCTTACCAATAATTGATGATTCTCATTGCTTGCTCATTCTGTTGTGCTTTTCCCTGAAAGGAAAAGTTGAAATGTTAGTCAGTAATAACTGTAAAACTGTGGATGTTAATTAAAAACCAAAACAAAACAAAAAAACAACAAACAAAGCAAAATAATAACAATAAAACCCAAACAGAATGAAAAACCACACAGAAACAAGAAGGAAAAAAAGGGGAGCATTAATAGTGGCTTACATGTGTTTTACAAACACCAGTTAGGTGAGTGGGTCTCATAGCCCGAGGTCGTAGCTCCTGGTATCGGAGAGTTTAGAAGTGACGAGCTCTTCCTTCGCTGCTCTGCCCATCTCTACTGCAGCTGCCTTTAGCCTGCTTTAGATATTCTGTGGGACAATACATGCACCCTTTGCATTGGCCACCTATTCCTTTTCATCTCGTGTTCTGTATATCCTCAGGTTTGGAATGAATTCCTGAGGATCAAGTGTACGTGTCGTAGAAAATAATGATTGAGAAGCATGTTAAAAAACCCCAACAAGCAATCAAGCTGCCAAACAGCCCCCCACCCGCCCCCGGTAATTAGAGTCATCACTTCTAAGCAAAATCCAAGTTCTGCATGGGAGAATAAATGTTATCCTTAACAGTATGTCTGTGACAAGCTTGTTTAAATACTATTTGCTTTTCAATGTTACTCTCGGCTATCAGTTGCAAGCTTTCAAATTTGAACATGATCGTTAAAAAAAAAAAAAAGGCAGGCAAATTGGGTGAGTTGAAGTAGTGGAGGATTACTGTTATGACTTTTCTCAAGGTAAATGCTACAGCAAGGAAATGGAACATAAATAGGTTTGGGTTTAGGACTAGGAAGAAGGGAAAGCAAAGCTGCCGCCTTTTTCTAAGGTTTTTGGCATAATATTGTGCATGTTTATTGTCCAAGTTACAGTCTGTACTTTGAAAGATTCGACTTCCTTAACATCTTTCTATTTCCTGATTAGCATTCCTTAAAGACTGCTGTCTGTGACATGAGATGTCTTGCACAGATCCTCCTGGTACAGTTTCCTCTTTCCACCTAACTGCTGTCTCTTTTTTTTTTTTTTCCTCTCCTCTCTCTCTCTTTCCTCTATTCTTGTGTAGGCCTGACCAAAGATGGCAGTAATGAAAATATTGATTCCCTTGAGGAAGTCCTTAATATTTTAGCAGAGGAAAGCTCTGATTGGTTTTATGGCTTTCTCTCATTTCTCTATGATGTATTGACTCCTTTTGAAATACTAGAAGAAGAAGAGAGCGAAGCTGCAGATGATGTTGATGGTACGTCACAGAATGAAGGGGTTCAGGGAAAAAAGACTTGTGTTATTTTGGATTTACAGAACCAGTGACCGAGAGA